CAGAATGTTATATATAATTCATGCTAAACAACTGAGACCACGTAATTCAAAGGGCTATTTATTTTCTGTAAGCATTACTCAAAAGACCTGGCCATTGAGCCCTTCAAGTGTGTAGTGCAACTGAAGAGCAGTATTTTAAATTCTAGTTGAATAACAAATTTTAAAGACTGGCGCTTGATTTAGTAGTTGGGAAACATTTAAGTATATTTAGAATAACTCAGGTAGGTAAATCTCCTTTCTGAACTATAAATAGTAGAAAATCTAAATGTAGATCAAATGTTTCTAATGAAAATCTGTCAGAACTGAGATGTGCTGTAAATATAAAAGATATACTGGAGTTAAGATTCAGCCCCACATTCAATAAGACTGTAGACCTATCCCACTGATATTTTTTAAGACATTAACATTGAAAAATATTTTTAAATACTTCAGATACATAGGTAAAATTAATTCCCCTTTTCTACTTTATTGAGGTTACTAGAAATTTAAAAATTACGTACCTTACATTGCACTTTTATTAGTGAGGATCTAGACAACAGCAATAGTATTAAATGACGAATATACATTTGTAAGATAAATGTTCTGATCTAATTATTCTTTCTGAAGGTTGTTTATGTTTGAAATTTTTATTCTTATATGTTCGTATCTATCTCCCTCTTGGCAAGCAAATCTGTGCTTAACAGCTGGTCAAGACAGTTGGCTTTGGACAGCTCCTGGAGTTTTTAAGGATTATTTCTTGGCAGCTTTTAAAAGCACTAATTGAAAGGTTAATCAAATCAGTGATACTTGTATGTTGGTTAAATAAACACCCTGTCTCCACTGATGATTAAACAGATGCATTATTCTTTACCCAGAAGGTCCATTTATAATCATTTCCACTTTTCTTCAAGGTTCTAAGTAGTATATGACACTGAGTGAATCGAAAATTTCATCTCAACTTACCAAAAAAACACCTGCACTTTCAGAATTCTGTAGAACTAAAATATCACATAGCAATAGAAATTGAATCTGTGGTTGAGGAAGGAAAAGATTAGTTCTACAAATAAGTATCCGTAAATTTGCCAAGGCACAAAAGACACAAGCTTCAAAGTAGATACGTTGTGAGGCATTCAATTCAACTGCCAAGCCACTGCCAAGTTGAGGCTGACTCATAGCAAGCCTGTAGGACGGAGCACAACAGCTCGGGGGTTTCCAACAGTCATCCCGGGAGTAGAAAGTGTTTCTCTGGAGGGGCAGCTGGTAGTTTCAAGTTGCTGACTTTGCAGTTAGCGGCCCAACTCTCAACCCACGATTCCACCAAGGGTTCTTTAGAGGCACCCAGTGCTAAAATCACAAGTGACACCATGCGGTCTAAAAGTAGTGCGTGAGGGTGCCAGTTGATACCTGCACAGGTTTATTCCTAACCAAGCCTGCCGAGACATGTCCCTGCCATCACTGCGTGGTAAGTTCTCTCAGGAGCACACCTGTCTTAGTC